CTGGCCTTATTTTACCAGTGGAAGGCTATTATCTTCCAACAGCTGTTTATAGTTAGCTTCAGCCCATATTTAAAGCCTGAAAGCTGGAGCCTTATTTAGTGCCTGTGGATCTGTGGTGAATAGAGTCAGGCTTAACTCTTTCCTCCCCGTGCAGTCAGTGACTTCTGTCAGGTTCTGGGGGATCAGCAAACCAAGAGGGTGGGATAGGTGGAGGGCTGTAGCATGCAGGTAAGGCTCAGAGAATCTTCTAATTACTGGGGGGGGGGTTGATTACCTGTTAGGAATGCACTGAACACTCCTATGCACTATCTCAGTTCATTGTGGGATGGGCAATCTGATGTTGAGATGCTTCTGTCCACTTCACAGGATGGGAAGAGGAGGCTCGGGAGATAAATGCCAGTATTCAAATCAAGAAGAATCCCGCTGCAGAGTCAGAGCTCCTATCCCCTAGAAAATGCTGGATTATGCTTCCCATTACAGAAACACTAACTTAGACCTGCTCTGTGCCCTGCCCTGAGCTGGCTTATCCGTTGTGGATGGAGGTCCTCCTGCCCAGAAGGCTCTCTGGCTGGCCAGAAAGATGAGCAAAGAAGAGCTGAACACCAAGGAGGGAGGAAGGCAGTCAGTGATCATTACAGCAACTCCTTACTCCATCCAGGTGAAGCAATAGGTCTGAACCAGAGGAACCTGGAGTGGGGGGGGGGAGCAGAATTTACCTAAAAGAATCCATTCTAAGATAAGAAAAAAAACCACAGTTGCTGACATACATGCATCCTACATGCTTCACACATACCCACCAAGATGCTGAATCTGAGAATAGATTCAGAGGGGGCTTTGAGGGCTGGGCAGAACCAAAATTCCAAGAGCGCTTCATTTGCCCTTCCACAAGCTTAGACTTGACTCCACGGGGCCGTAAGCACCATGGTGATGAGATCTGCCATTTAAAAAGGCTCCCCTTGCTGCTGTGAGACCAATGCTTTGGAGCGGGTAAGAGAAGGCGATCAAGGTGAGGATACTCTATACCCATCCTAGAAAAGAGAAATGGCCAGAGTTGTGGAATTGGGCAGAGGGGACTGGATTCAAGACAAGGGATGCAGAAGAATAAGAACAAAGACCGTTCAGTTTATTGGCTTCTATCAAGACTAAACAGAGGTTAACTTTTCAGCAGGAAGTTGGAAGGAACATTGCTGAAACCACTAACTCAACCCCAAATGACATACATTCCTGAGGGTTGCAGCCCTAACCGGTGGGGGTGGGGCAGCAGGGAGGCTGCACACACACAGGAGCACACACGCACGCACTTTCATTTTCTCAGCACGTCTGGAACTTTTGTTCTCCCTTTGTTTGACTCCGGCATCTTTCCTGATGACAAAGAAAACCAAAGATTTTGAAATCCATTGTGGGAGCACAAAGAGAGGTGGAGTTAAGAGGGTGGTGGGGGGAAAAGTTGGCCGACTCCAAACTTTCTTCTCCGCCTTGCTACCCAACAATTCACAGTGGGAGAGAGAGTGGCTTGCCAAAGGGCTCTGTGTGACTGGGCTAAACGAGAAGAATATGTAAAGTTCAAGATGAAAAGACGGCTCTCCCTGCTGCAAACAGAGCCCGGAGCTCACGGAGCTTGGGAAAGGAGACTTCACAAAGAAAAGTGCTTATTTGCAAACTGGTTTCTCTGCAGCAAATGCTCCCAGGACCTCTGGCAAAAGGAATTCCTGGACACAGTCCTTCTCCATTGAGCTGTTAGCGATCTGGGCTTAATTACCACTCGCCAGGCTTCCTGCTGCTGCAGCCAGTCCACGGGGCCATCCGTAAGAAGTCGGCCCACAGAAGTCTGGGGTAGAGATTTTGCCACCTTAATTCCAATGTTCAACAAAGTTAAAGTTTAGAACTGCTAAGCTGGAACCTTACTTATCCTTCTACTCTAAATCCCTCATTTTTAAGGCCCCATAAGAAAGTCAAGACCACCAGGGAGACAGCAGCATTGTCGCCTGGGGTGGGCAGCAGTCCATGAGCAAAAGTGTTCCTCTCACGCTAGGAGGAGAGTGTCCAAGATCCTGACTGTCACACATGAGAAGATGTGCCCTGGCCTGGCCTGGAGGATTACTGCCATTCCCACCAGACTGGCTGGCTTCTCCTGGGCAAATGAGCTAAGGCCACGTCCAGATCTGCCATCCTTAGCTCCCATTATTTGACAACAAAACAAAATATTTAAAACAAAACAAAAACAAAAACAACAACAAAAAAGCATTTTAAACAAAATAAGGCAAACATTTCCCGAAAAGAAATTATGTTACTCAGGGAACCTGTAAAGAAACAGAAAATATATATTCTTCATATACATTTGCCTATACATATTCACAGTCCAAATAACAATTTTTCAACTTTATGATGGTACGTTAAGTAATCCACATTCAGTGAAAACCATACTTCGAATTGTGAATTCTCATCTTGTCCCAAGCTAGGAATGTGCAATATGAGACCCTCTCACAAGACTGGGTAGTAGCAGTAAGTCACAGCCCCCGTCAGCCACACAACCACAAGACTACTTGACTCTCTACAACATCCTGTGTAACTGTTGAGCTATGATATTTTGTAGGTTTGGAGTATTGCATGAATTTTAAGTTTACGATAGTTTCAACTTACAGTGGTTTTTTAACATGCAACTCTGTCATAAGTCAAGGAACATCTGTATCTATACGGATGCATGTGTACATACAGGTATGTGTATCTATACATATATTACATGTTTTATATATTACATATGTGAATAGATGCACACACACAAATAAATATTATTTTTAGAGCAATTCATGTTAAGGAAATGGATAATGAGATTGCAAGGGCTGAAAAGTCTAACATTGGACACTATGGGACAGGCCAGCACATTCAGGTCTGAGTTGGTGTTGCAATCTTTTTTTTTTTAAAAAAAAAAGAAACTTTATTTTATTTATTTATTTATTTTTATGTGGTGCTGAGGATTGAACCTAGGGCCTCCCATGTGCTAGGCAAGCACTCTACCGCTGAGCTACAGCCCCAGCCCTGATGTTGTAATCTTGAGTCCAAATTCCACAGGTAGAGTTTTGACTGTTGCAGTCTTGGGGAGAATTCCTCTTTCATCAGGAAAACTCCAAAACTGCTCTTAAGGTCTTTGACTGATTGGAAGAGGCTTGCCTACCTTATGAATGATGATCCCTTTCCCTTAGAATTCACTGATTTAAATGTAAAATACATTCTTTAAAGTACCTTCATTGGCAACACCTAGACTAGTTTTTAAGCAAACATCTGGTCATCACAGCCTAGCCAAGTAGACAAATAAAATGAGCCGTCACAGAAAGCATTCGAACAGTGACCAAAGCAACACAACAGTCTATCTTTGAGATACATAATTGGCAAAAGATTGAGATCAATACAGGATAATGCATTTTTATTGTACTCAAAATCATTTCAGATAAATTAGTATTATACACAGGAGACCAAAGAATCTCCCCCGACCTAATTCAAAGATTCCCAGCTCCCTCTTCCCACCCTGCTTAACGATTCCCACCAGCACACACACTTCAGGCCTGTTTTTTAGAAGCCTGAGTTTTCCAGATTTCCTCTTATAAGCTTCAGACATTGGGAATCCCTGTGACAATGGCATAAACCCAGTGGGAATGTGCTCCAGCCAGAAGGATCCCACATCCCGGGTAAAGTCCGTATCCTAGAATTCTTCCCCTTTCTTTCCTGACTGGGGTTTGTCTGAGGCCATTTTTGGTCTAGTGACATCCCTGTCCATCTCTTCATCCCCTGACATCAGATTTCTGCAGGCATTAAAACCTCTGCCCGATGCAGGCTACTTACCCATTCCAAAACCGAGATTGGATGCACATCTGTAAATCACAAGCAGACAAGCAGAAGCCGGGATTCCACTTCTACCTCCTGGTAGTAGCTGGCTCCAGTTCTTGGCAGGGGATCCTTGAGGAATTTAGAAACTCTCCACGTTGTTGTTTTTTGTTGCTTTTTATGTTCTTTCTTATTTTAAACCAAGAGCTAAAAGGAGGGGAGACGTTCTAGGGAGACACAAATTCAAAACAAAAATCATGAAGTTTACAGCTAAAATAAAGGAACCGAACAGGCACTTCACAAAGAAGAATAAATGCGAATGGTCAAAAAATGTATGAAAAAAATGTTCAACAAATGCAAATTAAAACTACACTGAAGGCTGGGGATATAGCTCAGTTGGTAGAGTGCTTGCCTAGTATGCACAAGACCCTGGGTTCAAACCCCAGCACCACCAAAAAAAAAAAAAACTACACTGAGATTCCATCTCACTCCAGTGAGAGTGGTAATTATAAAGAATACAAGTAACGATAAATGTTAGAGAGGATGTGAGGAGAAAGGTATTCTTAGACATTGCTGGTGGGACTGCAAATTGGTGCAACCACTACAGAAGCAATATGGAAATTCCTTACAAAACTTGGATTGGAACCACCATTTGATCCAGTTATCCCACTCCTTGATCTATATCCAAAAGGACTTAAAATCAGCATACAACAGTGATGCAGCCACCTCAATGTTTATAGCAGCTCAGTTCATAATACCACGCTAGAGAACCAACCTAGGTGTCCTTCAACAAATGCATGGATAAAGAAAATGGGATATATATATATATATACACACACAATAGGATATTCCTCAGCCATAAAGAAGAATGAAATTATGGCATTTGCCGATAAATGGAATTGGAGAATATCATGCTAAGTGAAATAAGCCAGTCCCCCCAAACAAAGGCCAAATGCTGTCTCTGATATGTGGATGATAACTCACAACAAGGGAAGGTGAGGAGGGGAAGAATAGAAGTCCATTGGATGAAATAAAGAGGAATAAAAGGAGGAGAGGGGAGAAGAATAGGAAGGACAATAGAAGTAAATGAACGTAACTTTCCTGTCCTTGTATTTGAATACACAATCAGGGTAGCTCCACTTCCGGGTACCATAGAAATGTACAACCATAAGAACAGGATCCTAATTAGAATCAGTCCTACTCCATGTATGTATAATATGCCAATATATTCTACTGTCATGTCTATCAAAAAAACGAAGTAAAATGAATTATGTTATTCTGTCTTAATCTAAGTTATTCTATCTTAATCACATCACTACCTCATGCTCTTTCAGAGGACTCCACCCCCAGGGTGTGGGGTGCTCCTGGCTCCAGTCATTCCCACTGGGAATGACTCTCAGTTGGCCTGAGTGTCAGCTCTCCGGGAGGAGCAAAAGGAACCTCCCACATGGGTTGCAGGTGAAGGACTGCCCTGAGATTTCCTGGACCTCTAGTGAGTGTGTAAATACAGGTGAAAGCTCACGGTGTAGGCTCCTGACTCGGGTAAAAGGTCTGACCTAAGGCCATTGAAGAATCATCTTCATATTAATGAATACCCCAATAGCACGGCAACATCCCTCAGAATTCAGTAAAACTGAAAAATTTGAAGTGAAGGAACCTACTAAATATTTAATAAGAATCACTGAGCATAGAATGAGAATTAAAAAAAAAAACTTGAATTGTGAGTGCTGTTAGGCAGGTTAGGGAGACTGACAGGTTGAGAAGGCCAAGCGATTATGTCAGTGTCACAGTTAATTTTTGGCAAAATGGCATACTAGGATCCCCTGAGGACTCATACTCTTTTAATGCCAATGCATAAGATACCTTCTGAGGGACATGCCCACTGGCCAAGTCCTCACATCTATGCCTCTCCTTTGTAGGACTCCTTGCCACTGTGATGAATCAGTTGCTGGCTTGATGATCTCCTTGATGTCTTTCTCCTCTACCAGATGGTGAATTCTCTAAGGTCAAGCACCTTGTCTCATGTAATGGCTGGCAGGACACCAAATGAGTGGCCCTGGACATGCATTAAATGAATGACGACATCAAACAGCCGACCAATAGTTGGAATACTGGCTTTCTCAAGGGTGACCTAGCAGGTATTTTTATTCATATACCCACTCCCAGGTACCATAGGAATGAATCAACCCATCTTTTTTTTTCCTCCTGTTTCCTTCTTGCTATTGGGCATCCACACTGATAAATTATTTCATGCTTTTAGGAATACTTAAAGGCTGCCACATCTATGAGATCACTTTCTACCGCCACCACGACTCGACTCACAAGATGAATTGCTAAAAAAATCACAGTGAATGTGCGGTTCTGAACTACACATCTTTTCGTTTCCTGTAGAAAGCTCCTTCAACATTTGAAGGAAAGCTATGGTGTTTGTGTTTCTTCTACATTTAACTTTGTTCTTTCAAAAATGAAGGTGTCTGGAGCATCTTTAAGTGAGACCTCGGTCAAAGCCCTCTCTAACGTTCTGTCTCTGTGGATTTCGTATTCTCATCTGTCACTTCCCACCCTGCACCAACTGCCCCAATGGGGAAATGGCAGTGGGACAGCAGGCCGTGGGGAAGGTCCTGATAATACATGGAGAACCAAACAGAAAGGGTCTGAACCCTTCTGCATTTACGCTTGAATGAGGAAGGCGGGGATTAAACAAGTACTCTGAGTGTGATGAAAGTAAAGAGAACTTCACAAGTGTCATGGGAGCATCAGTAAAAGAATTTGAGTCTAATGCATCCAGACCGATCCTCTTGAGAACATGACATTTAACCTAAAAATTAATCAGTAGGAGTTAGTTGACTGAGCAGAGTTAGGTTGACCTGCTATCTCGCACAGTCAAAGGGAAGGGTGGTTTAGAAGACCCAGTATTTATAAAGAATGTGTCATGTTCATGAAAAATAAAGATGGAACATTGAACAAAGGAAAAGTGTTTTCCCAGCACAACTGATAATTTTGTTCTGCTGCTCCTTGATCCTTAAATGCTGTTTCCCTTCTTCTCCATCTAGCCTTTACCTGGTTCAATATTTATTTATATTCTGAAAGTTTGCCCAATACTTCTCCTAATGGACTCACTTCTTCCCCTGTAACTCTTTATAAAAACGTCTGCCACCATGTTTATCTGTTTATAGTCTTACCCTAGCACCATGTCCTCTCTGTTATGGTAAACTTGGTACACTTTATTCCCTGGACATACATGGTGGCCAATGCAGAGAGAAACTCAATTTTTTTTTTCCCCCAGAGTGAATCAAATTGAACTGTTTGATTCAGTCTTCTTTAATGTAAAGAATATTCCCCAGAAGCTTCTAGCCCACAACCCCACTTAATATTGGAACACTTGCTTCTACAATTGTGACAACAAGGTTTCCAGCTAATTATTGTCCTCAGGAAAGTCCACAGACAGAAAAAAACAAACATAAGCTTCTGAGTTAGGAAATATCTATAAAAGAACATATTGAGAGAGAGGTTTAACTTGTGTGAGAAGATTAATAGTCCGAGCTTAAAAGTCATTAAGAAGATGTAAGAGAGGAATGAAGTTTGAATAAACAAAGCCATGTCTAATGAAACAGTTTTGGATATCAAAGGCAAGTTATAAATAAGGCATGAAACAGACACCGGGTTTACAGACATCATAAAGTGTCATGGATAGGGTGAATGGGAAAAATCCACCCTAGAAGGATACAGCTATAAGAATTAGGTCAGCACTGAAGATCTGAGAATGATGTAGAGGGTTGCTTGACATGCAGGGACCTCAGCTTAGTAACTGAGCTTCCTCTTGTTCCTCTGATTCAGCATGGTCCCTTTTACCAGTGCCTGGTCTCTGGGTCTCTTTTCTCACCAGGCAGCTCAAACCCCTCACTCCCCTCTGCACTTGGGTTCTTCTTTGAGTTCCTAGTCCCTAGCCCATAACAGGTGCTCCAGAGAATATAAAGGATAATAATAATGATAACAACCACAAAATAACAACAATAATAATGTATCATTTTTTTTAGAAACAATCTCTTTACCTCTGTATGCTCTCCTTTCCCATTGTACAATGCAGATCATAATGATGATCATCGGTGTGTCCTAGGGTTGCTCAAGGAAAAGACTTATGCACACATTAAATATCCTTGGAAATAGTGGCACTTTGTCATGGTAAAAAAAAAAAAAGCATCACTTTTAACTCTGGTTTGTAGAAATCTGACTTTATTACATTCATGACTTCATTGAATCATGTTCATTCCTTCATCAGCAGATGTTCATTCCATGCTTAGCTTGGAAAAACTCACTATCATTAATAATACATCATACTTTCTCCTTAACACTAAACATGCTGTATAGAGTTGCCACAGTGAGATTCTTTGATTGCAAGTCAAGGCACACAGTCTTTCGATTGAGAGCCTGTAGCTGAAATCACAGTTTGTTTGCTGTTTGCATACCACATAGGATGAAGAGATTTTTCTCTTCTATTTGGTCATCCTGGGACATCTTGTTGCATTTCAATGTTTACAACTCAAGAATGCCATTACTTATTTTTTTTTTTCTGATGCACCCTGGAGCAACAGTGAGGATTGTAGTTTTGATAAGTGGTTTATGTTAAAATATAATGTAGACCATCTCAAACATATTTCCTAAATTTACAATATTCTATTGAAGCATTTGTTTTGACTACGGTAACAAAAATAAAAAATTTAACTTAATTTATGTGGACATCGTAATAGATTTTGATAATATAGAGCTCTGCAAGGAGGGCCTGGCAGCAGCCCCCTGCCTGCCTGTAGCTTAAAGTCTACAAGGGAATGCAAAATGTTACGCAAGTCACCACAGCAACGTGCTAAAATAGAAGAATGGGAAATGTACAAACTTAGAACAGAGAGACCTAACTCTGTGGAGCAGGGTGAGTGATATTTAGAGAGGTCTTTAGGAATGCTTCATCTTTAGTGATCCAAAGGCAGAGGTGTGTTGGAGTAAGGAAGTGGCACAGACAAAAGAAAAAAAAATGCTTCATTTATCGTAAGTTGCCATTAAGTCTGACACTGAAAGCATAACAGTTAATACCAGATGCTGAGGTTCAAATCACACCTCTGTATCTTATCATTAGCTACCTGACACTGAACAAGTTACGTAATCTTACGTCAACATCCTCATTTGTAGAAGGTAAAACCGCACTGCCCAGTCTTGTTGCACTATTAGGA